GCCTGAAAAGAGACATTCCTGCTTACAATAGCTTCAGTGTGCAGCACTAGGCTGAATGGGCCATGGTGTATCAGAGCGACTTGTCAGGCTGTAATCAATGCAAACAGGATGAAAAGCCTTATCAAAAGAGACAAACGCAGACATGAGCACTGTCGCCAAATGAAAACAAGAGTAAGAAAGATGGAGGCTTTGGCAGTTGGCCCTGGCCTGTTGTATGTGGAGTATGTGTGTGTGAGAACAAGGGAGAGAAATCGAGCCAATGAGCACTTGGAAATTCTCATTCTGTTCCAGTAAAAGTAATATCTTCAGTACAGGAGCTGCGGCGTAATTGTGCTGATTCACACGCCCCTCGCAGAAACAGCATATATTAGATGCTAATGTGCAGGTAATGGATGATATATATCCATATAAAAGGACTCGGTGCTTGTGGATCTGTGAGCGTTAATCCAACACTTTGATTTGGGAGCTGCCAGAGATGATGGGTAAAGAAAAGCTTCTCTTTAGGGATTCTCCTCCCAATCCAATCTGCATCTGTACTGATGGATTCACTATAATCTCACCATAAAGAAGAAAGGGATTCCACACAGGAACCTGTGGCACATAAGCCTGTTGAGATCTCAGCTGGCTGTCACAGTGTGCGTGAGTGTGTATAAGCCTGTTTTGAGCACAGCCGAGTGTGTGTGTGTGTGTGTGTGTGTGTTTGTTTGGAGAGGGTGTTATATGTTCATAAGCCTGTTTGGGACACAGCTGCCTATCACAGCTATTTGAAAAGCTCCAGGGGTAAGCCATAGGGGCATGAGAGCTCTCTTGAAAACACTTGGCAGCCATATACTTTACTGAGTTTTTCCTCCATGTTGTCTAAGGAATCAATAGCTGTGTCCACTCTTAGGTTCAGAGACAGGTTAAGTACACATTTCAAGAGAATCTGGATTATTTTCCAAGGGTAAAAACATTTATGGGGCCTCTTTGTGTACAGTATGTTAGACTTTATTTAGTAAAAATAGAGTAATGGAGAACATTTTAGCATCCATAAGAGTCTGACATTTCATTGGTTATTGGAGAATGAATGCTGTCTCACACGAACTGTACATTAGCAACAGCCTCTGTGAAATTAGCAGTATTACACAAACAGCACTAATGCTTTTATACAACAGCTCAATACAGCTAATATTTAGTATTATTGAGGTACTATTGAGATACTATTTGATTATATTTTATATTTAAAAATATCCATTTAGATTTTAGTTTGTCATTTTGATTGTTTTTTTTTAATGTCTATAGTTTAAAAACATTACACTACACTAAAATAAGTTTCATTTTACAACAAAACTAAAAAATAATAAACTAAATAATAAACTAATAAATTTTTATATTTAAATTAAATTAAACTTTATTTCAAGTAACAAGTATTTTTATGGTTTTAGGTATTATACTAGCCCTGATATAGAATAACTTCGATTTTAGACACAGTATTGCCAATGCAAAAATTTCCAAATGAAGCCACAGAAGCCACTGTTCACATCTCTAAGCAACATACAGTAGCTGCGAATTAATCTGTGTTTTTGAACAAATTGGTTGAGTGATTGATTCAATGACTCACTCGTAAAAAGAGTCACTTGTTTCATTGCTGAATGAATCAGTGCCTTTGAATGAATTGGTTTAATGAACGAATCAGTGACTCACTCATGAAGACAGTTACTTTTTGCCATCTACTGGTGAAGTGTTGTAACCTGCAAAAAGAGCCACTCTAAAATCTCTACCACTAATGGACAGACTAGTGCATTAGTGTCTGTCTGGAACACACAAACACACACACAGAGTGATAGAAACAGTGATAAGAAATTACCATTGCTGCTGGAATATTACTTATAGTGCAGGAGAAATAGCAATGGAGTGACACCAAAAGAAGCAAGTGAGTCTGGAGTTCTTCAGGGGGGTGCAGTTATTTTTGGTGATTGAGACACAAGTGGATAGGGCTTTAAAAGCAGGTCAACAAAGTGGCCAGGTGCTGCAGGCGGCGTGTGAAAGCTTGGGGGGACAAAAAGTCAAGCACCTCCTCAACACCGCCAGTATCTGTACTGCCAACCGAGCTATCATCTGACAGAGAGAACAGTGGATGAGAGGAAATATAGCTGACTCTACACCTACACACACAAACACCCACAGATACACTTGTTCATGCTCACTAGCTGTGGAGAGGCTCTACTGAACTCTCTCTCGCATGGTACCGCTCATCAAAAAGTACCTTTTTACAACTGTTTAATGAGAAACTCATAATTTGTTCTAATAAAAGAAAGACAATTCCATCCATACTGTAACTGATGAGACTGTAAATGTGAGGGTTTTGTAAGATGGAAAGACCTATCTGTATCTTTTGTTCTCATCCTCTTTCAGACGCTGTGTGAACAATTCAACAAATCACAAGCACTCAAAATTTCCCTGGGGGAGATATTGTTCTCTGAGGAAGATTTCATGTAACTATTCCCCTATCCAGTGACACACACACACATACACACCTGTCTAAAATGCAGTATTGTAGGAGGCCCAGTGTAAAACAAAGGTTATCACCTCAGATCAGGTCTTATGGGAAACACACAACAAAGAGCAGTAGTCCAGCCCAACCCAGCCCCGAGGGTCTCATTAGCATGACACAGCTGTGATCAGGTTAGCACACCCAATCTGTCCATGCTATCAGCCCCCAAGCACAACAAACTTAAAGTGAACCTGCATTAAAGATGCTAGTGTTTTTCTTTTTAAATATTGTAATTAAAAGTATTATTTTTAAGGTTAGAGATGTTATATTAAATTAGGATCAGTTGCA